CCAGACCCGAAACGTCAGCTTTCCTGATGCTGCCTTGCCTGCTGCGTTCATCCAGCTCTACACCTTGTTACCTTAGTCTGGATACTACAACTAACCTCAAACCCCCGAGTTAGAGAAACTAATACCCATCAGAGATCCTACTGGATTCTCCTCAGGGTCTCTGTACTGGAGGGTGGGTGGTGACATGATCAAACTGGCTTGCCCAGGTGGTTGAATAAGCCCATTTACCATTCACTACGAATTCTAATACATGCAAACAACCAATATCTTCGAACCAGCACCCCAGAGACAGCAGGTTGCATTTATGTTACTAAGTATTTACAAACCAGGGCGATTTAACCTGGACACTGGACCCCAGCAGTCTGTAAGCTTCATATAAATCACTGGTTCGATAACAATGGGAGCATTGGGAAGGCTGTTTTCATCCTGGAGGGAGTGCAGCACCAATTTACCAGAATAATACGTGGGTTATGAACTACAGTGGTTCAAGAAGGCAGCTCACCACCACCTTCTCAAGGGGCAACTAGGGACGGGCAATAAATGCTGGGCCCAGACAGTGACACCCACATCCCTTCAGTGAATAAAAAATAATTCCAAAAGGGTGGTACCTAGATTCCATTTAGGGAGAACTTACACAAATAAGGGAGACACTCCTGAAATGTAGAAGGTCAAGGGGTGATTTGATCAAAATATTTGAGATACAATGTGAAATAGACAGGGTAGGCAGAGAGGAACTGTCCCCACTAGCTGTGAAGTGTAGGACTGGGGACAAAGTCAAAAAATTAGAGTCAGAATATTCAGGAGTAAAATTAGGAAGTGCTTCTACACACAAAGAGTGGGAGAAATTTGGAACTTTCTTCTGTAAATGGCAATTGATAATGGGTCCAATGTTACATTTAAAACAGATTGAAAGATTTAAGCAAAAGGTTAATGAATAAAAGTTAATGGGACTGGAAGAGCTGAGTGTAAGTCAAGGTATGAATGGATGTGATGCAGAGACAAGTATGTGGGGATTGGGCACACATGAGCCATGATTGCAATGAATTCCAGAACTGATTTAAGGACAGCAGTGAGCTCCTCCAACCCCTCCTCCCCCATCCACTTCATCAAAATCCCTCCACTCTTTCCCCAGGGTGGGAGAGTCCAAACCAAAACTAGAGGGCATAGGTTTAAGGTGAGAGGGGGAAAGATTTTAAAAGGGAAATGTTTTCACACAGAGGGTGGTGCATAAGTGGAACAAAGTGGTACAATTACAACATTTTAAAGACATTTGGGCAGGTTTTTGAATAGGAAAGGTTTAGAGGGATATGGGCCAAACACAGGCAAATGGGACTAGTTCAGTTTCGGAAACCGGTTGACATGGACAGGTTAGACCAATGGGTCTGTTTCCATGCTTTATGACTGTGACCCTTTTTCCCGGTGTTTATTTAGCTTCTCCTTAAATGCATTAATATTATTGTCCTCAACAACTCCCTGTGGGAATAGGGCTCCACGTTCCCAGGTTCTCCAGGTAAAGAAGTTTCACTCAAATTCTCTGTTGGAATTTTTTTTTTGTGATTATGTCACGTCTATGGTCCCTGGTTTTCACCGGCCTCACCCACAAATGGAAATACCATCACCTCCTCAGAGCTCTTTACACAATCAATTGTCAGACGTACATAAAAAATTGACAGGGAATGAAAAGGGAATCATTAGGACTGGGAGTTGAAAGGGAGGGAGTGATAACCTTCACGAGTAGTAGAGAGGAAAAGAGTGAAAATTGCAAACTAAAAATTGGAATAAAAATCTGAACTCACTTGTAAATCATGAAGCTGCTTCTGACTTTAATTCCACCCTTGATAAAGCTGACCATGTTCTCATCCTGAAAGCACGGACATAAACAAGAGTCAAGTCTAATTGTAACACCAGCTCTGGTCTTTCTGTACTAATCTGCTGTGATCATAACTTAGAAGAGAGAACTCATCAATTGCAAAAAAGTGTTTGCAGAATGGTCTTAGGTTCCAGCATCTGATGAGAAGTCTATCACTTATTGTCAGGGATACCTTCATGGGATGAGAGTGTCACTGGCCAAGCTAGCATTGGATGCCCATTACTCATTGCCCTTGAACTGACTGCCTTATTAGGCCGTTGCAGAGGGCAGTTAAGAGTCAACCACATTGCTGTGGGTCTGGAGTCACATGTAGGCCTGGTAAGGATGGAAAATTTGTTCCCTTACTGACCCAGTTGGGCTTTCACAACAATCAATGATAATTTCATGGATACTGAGACTAGCTTTCTATTCCAGATTTTATTCACTAAATTTCAACACCATCAGTTGAATTTGAACACATGAATACAAGACATTAGCCTAGCCTCCTGGACAGCTAGTCCAATGACAGTACTTCTACACCACCATTTGGAACAGAATTCAAATGAAGTGGATTTAGCTTTCTTTATAAAAAAACAGGTAAGGTGAGCTCATAAAAAAATGGAAAAACTGCTGTCAACACCTCCTCGTTGTCTGGGAGTATCAAAATTGGAAAAGTGTTTTAGTCTCTGGTATTAATAGCCCACATGGGACATGTACACAAGTAAAAAATCTCAAACATTAACATTCGAAAGAAAACAAGCAAAAAAAAGTCACTTCCATAAGGCACATTTGCAAATTTATCTTTCATTTTATATAACTTACATGTAAGTGCAATTCTTGCTTTCTTTTAACTCTTTCATGAATTACAACTTTTAAAAGGCACCTGATAGATACACGAATAGGAAGGGTTTAGAGGAACATGGGCCAAATGCTGGCAAACGGAACTAGGTCAGATTGGGATATCTGGTTGGCATAGACAAGTTGGACCGAAGGGTCTGTTTCCGTGCTGTATGACTCTGCAACCCTACAATTAATAGGGTTAATCAACTCCTCTGGTTGGAGATTAATGAGGGAGCAAGTGAAATTCCTGTCCAGCCCCTTGCTCAACAGGAAAGACTCCAGGACCAGGGTCACAGTCTAAGGAAACAGAGGAGGCCATTTAGCACTGAGACAAGGTGAAATTTCTTCACCCAGAGAGTGCTGAGCCTGTGGAATTCTCTGCCACAGAAAGGAGTCGAGACCAAAACACTGAATGTTTTCAACAAGGAGTTAAATATAGTTCTTAGGGCTAAAGGGATCAAGGGGTATGGGGAGATAGTGGGAACAGGGGACTGAGTTGGATGATCAGCCATGATCATATTGAATGGTGGAGCAGGCTTGAAGGGCTGAATGGCCTACTCCTGATCCTATTTACTATGTTTTCTGTCTTATGTGAATGTTCGATGTTGATATTGCAAAAAGCAAAAATCAAATCCATTTCATCCAACACTTGTTGCCATTTAGTACATTCACAATTACAGTTGTTACCATAGTCATCACATATGGAACATATGGCTCAGGGGTTATTTCCACAATTTCCAGCCCTTCAGTGCATTATGGTTGAAGAGCCTTAGACAGTGACCTTTCCACACTGATCCTTTGTGATGGCTGCCCCAAGCTTTAGTGTGTCCTCAGCACGTAGTCCTGGGCCTTGGAATGTGCCAGTCTGCAACACTCAGTTGAGGTCAACTCACTGCACAGGGAGACCAGCACCTTTCAGACAGACTAAAGAGCATCTTTCACTGAGTTGATGGTCTTCCAGGCACAGCTGGTTTTGTAGAACACGCGGCTGTGCAAAGGAAGGACTGTATATTTGGGCATGATTGTTTTGTATTTAAACTGCAGTGAAATTATCTGCTGCTATCTGTATCCCTCCAAACCACAACCGGTCTTAAATATCCAAGCCACAGGGATCAGAATTCCTGCTGCTTGGCCAGGGGACTTTGCAAAGTGTAATTTGTTTTTAAATTTCTCTCTAGGTCAGCAGCACCCAGCACTGAGTGGGAGGGTTTTTCTTCTTCAGATTACTTTTAACATGCAGCAGAGTGTGACAGACCAATAAAACACGAGCTGTGTCATCTATAAAGAAAGAACTTAAATTTCTGTCATGTCTTTCACAGCCTCAGGACATCCTGAAGCACATTTTTAAAAAAAATTAACATATTTGCCTGATCAACCCAGAGATGTTACACGCCTCTGATACAAACTGATAAAGGAAGTGCTAACATCAGCAGTTACACTCCGCTGAATTATCACTTACCTGTAAGAAGGTCAGAGCTGCTCTCTGCAGTAAACACTCTGCATAGCAAACCTCTGCATGGACTTCCTCTGTAAAACAAGTTAAAACAATCGGGCAGGCACAATTAATCCTTACAAACCTACATTTTCTGGTTCCATTATAAACAGAGTGAATGATACAGTGGTATCAGGAAGGTCCAATGCTTAAGGCACATCTAAGGATTGGTCATTCATGGGCTACCACTTTGATAATGACATTGAAAGTTTCCATCTGCCTGAAGATCCCAAGCTGGTCCACCGTTGTCCTTCAGGGTAGGGAACTACCTTCACTGCCTGCCCTAGTCTACTCACTGACTCCAGTTCCACAATGACGATCATTCTTCACACGACAGTCGGAGTCACCAGAGCAAAGAAGGTTGGAAATGGAGCAAATGTTACAGGTCTCGATTACCTATCTCATTTCACCTTGAGCTGAGTGGACAAATACTAAATCAGAGAGCAGAATACTGCAGCCGCCAGAAATCAGAAATGAAAACACAAAATGCCGGGAATGCTTGGCAGGTCAGGTAGCAACTGTGGAGAGAGAGGAACAGGTCGACGGTCTTTCATCAGAACTGGGCAGAGTTAGAGATGTCATAGGTTTTGAGGAAGGAGTCGGTGGGATGAGGACACAGGAAGAAGACAAGAGAGACTGAATGACAGGAGAGCCAGCCCTCCAGGGCCAGAGAGAATGATGCCAAGGAAAGAGAGAGCTAACAAAGGCCTAGACTGGGTGCACCACTGTCTGAAAGCAAAAATAAGAGAAAAACTGGAAGATGCAAAGGAGACAAAATAGAGGACACAGAGTTTGCAGACTAAAATTATTGAACTTATTTTTTCTTTCAGTCAACGGAGGGCACTTTTCTTTGTTTCTTTTCTCACTTTTGGTTCGACCATTCAATCTCTCCTGTCTTCAGTGACCTTCCTTTGTTCTTGTCCCCCCATTCCTTCCTCAAAACCTGTTACCTCATGGACTTTTCCCAGTTCTGATGAAAGGTCATCAACTGGAAATATTAACTCTGGTTCTCTCTCCACCGATGATGCCTGAGCTGGTTTTACTGATGGGTGCATGCACTGCCCAGTTTTGTATTGAGAGTCCCAGGGAGGTCCTATATGGAGAAGATGGTACGGGATGCAAAGGGGTAGAGTTATGTTCCAGTTACAATCGACCACATAAGGAGTCGGTTCTCCTCCAAGACCCACGCTGCCCTGATTTGGAAATATATCACTGTTGCTTCACTATTACAGACTCAAAATCCTGGAACTCCCTCCCTAAGGACTGTAGCAGCTCAAGACGGTAACTCACCACCACCTTCTCCATGATAATGAGGGAAATGCTGGCTTCATGAAGGAATAAATGAAAAATCTGCCTTTAATTGGGGTCCCCGCACGTCACCTCAGCAAAGATGTATCGGCTTTGAAATGAGGTTAGTAGGTAATTTAACAACAATTTACTCCGTTGGTATTCATTTGAGATCAAAGATAAACACCCCAAGTGAGTCATGTGTTAAAGACGATTAAAGTATTTGGTAGCATAGGGGGAGAGAAACTATTTTCTCTGGTGTGTATGTGTGGCCACATGTCTGTCTGTCTGCGTGTGCACGTGTCCCTCTGTGCACGTGTGTGTGTGTTCTTCAACAGAGGGATATAACCATAAAATTTGAGAAAGACTGTTCAGGGATGATATCAGGAAGCACTTCTTCACACAAAGGGGAATGGAAATCTGGAACGCCCTTCCCCAAAATCGACAGGATGCCCTGGGGATTAATTGAACAATTCTAATGGATAGTTTTGTGTTAGGCAAGGGGTTACCAAAGATTTACAGATCAGAAATCAGCCTTTAGGTCCTGCCGGTCTACGCTGGTCTCTCATTCTAACCATTACTTCATCAGATCAAGGTTACAGCAGAGACCTACACATGGAATCTTTTACAGTGGGGTGGCTACCACACCATCTCACCCTATCAACATACCCTCCTATTACATTCTCCTTACATTGATCCAAATTTCTCAGAAAGACATCTATTAAGGGTTAGTGAATCAAAAAGGCAGGTAAATGGAGTTGAACTGCCTCTGTGATAATGGGAGAACATGCATTAGGAACCAAATTGCCTCTAACTATTCCTGTAAGCCTCCCTGGTCCCACTGAGCTCTCCAATCAATGATGGAGTTTAAATGGGCCAGGGACACGGAAGAGGGATTGGCCTCAGTACCCCCAGGAAGTGGACGAGAGCATCCAGTGAAGGTGAAATCACGCTCAGCCATGACCCTTACACAATTGGGTGGCGTTGTGGACACTGAGTGTTTGGGTTCCCACATACAGTTTACCCAAAGTCATCCTGGCTCAGAACAGGAGATGGCCAGTGTTTGCAGAGCCTTAAGCCCAGGAGACAGGAGAAGAGTATAGATAAATTAAAACAGCAAAGACAGGATGCTTGTGCAAAAAATACCAAGGAATACTCATACTGGTTAAAGGGAGATATGATGAGTTAATACAGATACAATGAGCTGAATGGCCAACTTTTGCCTCCAATTCTAGCTTCTTGTACTTCCCCAAATTGCATCACTCTATGATTGGTGACCATCGATGTTCCCTCTAATTATTTCCTTTATGTGCGTGGAACTCTGAGGTCCATGTGCAGCAACCTCTGAGACTATGGGACAATGCGTGACATGTCAACCACACTGATTGGCTCACTTGGAGCCTCAGAACTACTATGTGGATTGGAGAGAGCATTAATGACCTTGCCTTTAGCTACCTGGGCTTCAAGTTCTACAGTTCCCTCCCTGAACCTCTCCACCTCTCTCCCCTCCTAATCAGGTGTAGGTTTTAAGGAGTAACTCAAGCATTTGGTCACACACCCTAATATCTCCTTGTGGGGTTCGGCGTCAAATATAGTCCAGTGGAAGTTGCTGAGAAATGCCTCGGGATGTTCTGTGATGTCAAAGGCACTATGTAAACACAAAGCTGTTGTAACCTTGAACAAGTAGTGGAGTTATTGATCTAATGGAATGAATGCCTTCATCTTTCCCGTGCAGGGGGCTCTAACACAAACCTTCTGTGAAGTGGTCCCCAGCTGGCTTGTTCACCAGACTCGAGAGCGAACCAACAACAGTCGACTTCTTGCGAAACCTGTTGGCAACAAGTGGTCAATTAGGGAAGACTGTTCAGTGTCCTGACATTGGAGTGTTGACAGATACAAGCACACCTAAGAAAGAGGGTCAGGATTGGGCCGTTTGGAGTCACTCCAAATTCTAGATCGTGGCTGATCGGCTAGTGGCCTTATTTCCACTATTCTGCTCCCATTTCTTATGCTCTTACTTAACCCTCTACAAAGGGTGGTCAACAGATGGCATCTCCACCACCAGCTTCTCAAGGCAACAGCAGATGAACAATAAGTGCCAGGCTTGCCCATGATACCCACATGCCAAGAATGATACATTTTTTTAAATGGCCACAGCCATTATGTCCAAGGTTCTAAGCTGTATCATGGCACAGACAAGGAAGTTAAACACAATAATATTAGAAAAGATGTCAAGGTCAGCATAATCTTCATCAGGATTCAAACAAAAAATTCTTTTTATATTCTTTCACTATGTGTGGAATCACTGGCAACATAAGCATTTGATGCCCATCCCTAATTGCCCTTGGGAAGGGAATGGTGGTATGGAGGTAACACAAGTCCACGAATACAAGCTGGGATGATGTTGCCCCTTCTCCTGGTAACTGGAACTTGGAGGCACAGTCCATGATAAGGGATCTCCTTAACTGTAATTCATTTATATGATGTAGTCATCGCTGGCTGAGCCTACATTTATTGCCTATTTCCAGCTTCCTTCAAAAAGTGGTGGTGAGCTACCTTCTTGAACTGCTGTAGTCCATTTGCTGTATGTAGACCAATAATGCCATTGGGAATGGAATTCCAGAATTTTGACACAGCAACATTGAAATAATATATTTCTAAGTCAGGATGGTAAGTGTTTGGACTTAAACACTTAATTGCAAGGCAATAGGGTGTGTTACCGAACAAAGAGGGCTTGGAGTGCAGGTTCATAATTCCTTGAAGGTGAAGTCCCGGGTAGATAGGATAGTGAAGGTGGTGTTTGGTATGCTTGCCTTTACTGGTCAGTGCATTCAGTATAAGAATTGGTAAGTCACATTGCAGCTGTACAGGACACTGATTTGGCCACTTTTGGAATACTGCGCAAAATTTTGGTCTCCCTGCTATAGGAAGGATATTGTTAAACTTGAAAGGGTTCAGAAAAGACATACAAATGTTGCTGGTGTTGGAGGGTTTGAGCTATAGGGAGAGACTTAATCAGCTAGGGCTATTTTCCCTGGAGCATCAGAGGCTGAGGGGTGACCTTATAGAGGTTTATAAAATCATGAGGGGCATGGATAGGGTGAATAGTCAAGGTCTTTTCCCCAGGGTAGGGGAGTCCAAAATTAGACGGCATAGATTTACGGTAAGTGGGGAAAGATTTAAAAGGGATCTGAGGGGCAAATTTTTCATGCAGATGGTGGTGTGCGTATGGAAGGAGCCGCCAGAGGAAGTGGTGGACGCTGGTACAATAACAACATTTAAAAGGCATCTGGATGGGTACACGAATAGGAATGATTTAGAGGGATATGGTCCAAATGCTGGCAAACGGCACTAGATTAATTTAGGCTATGTGGTCGGCATTAACAAGTTGGACCGAAGGTTGTGTTTCCATGCTGTACAACTCTATGATTCTATGAGTGACTTGGAGGGGATGGTGTTCCCATGTATCTGCTGCCCTTGTCCTTCTAGATGGAAGTGGTTGCAAGTTAGGAAGGTGCTGTCTATGGAGTCTTTGTGAATTTCTGCAGTGCATCTTGTCAATGGTACGCACTGCTGCCTCTGTGTATCAGTGGTGGAGGGAGCGAATAATTGGTGCCAATCAAATGGGCTGCTTTGTCCCAGACAGTATTAAACTTATTGAGTGTTGTTGGAGCTGCGCTCATCCAGGAAAGTTGGAGTATTCCATCACACTCCTGACTTGTACCTTGTAGATGTTGGACAGGCTTTGAGAAGTCTGGAGCGGAGTTACTCTCTGCTGTTGTAGCCACTGTATTTATACGGGTAGTCCAGTTGAGTTTCTGGTCAATGGAAACCCCCAGGATGTTGATACTAGGGGCATTCAGCAATTGCAATGCCATTGAATGTTGAGAGACAACAATTAGACTCTCTCTTGTTGGAGATGGTCATTGCCTGACAGTTGTACGGTATAAATGTTCCTTGCCACTTCTCAGCCTAAACTTAGATACAGTCCAGAAAGAAAAACAAGATGTGCTGCAGAAACTCAGAAGGTCTGTCAGCATCTGTGGAAAGAAAAACAGAGTTAACGTTTTGAGTCTGGAAATTCAGAAGATTGTCCAGATCTTACTCCATCTGGAGAGGGGTTGCTTCAATGTCTGAGGAGTCATGAACGGTGCTGAACATTGTGCAATTATCGGCGAACATCCCCACTTCTGACCTTATGATGGAGGGAAGGTCATTGGTGAAGCAGCTGAAGATGGTTGGGCCTAGGACACTATCCTGAGGAACTCCTGCAGAGATGTTCTGGATCTGAGATGACTGACCTCCAACAACTAACTTCCCATGTGCCAGGTATGGCTCTAATCAGCAGAGAGTTTTCCCCTTGATTCCCATTGATTATAGATTTGGCAGGACTCCTTATGTTACACTCTGTCAAACTCTGCCTTGATGTCAAGGGCACTCACTCTCCCTTCACCTCAGATAGGGATGAGGAGGAACTGATTTTGGGAACAAAATGTAGGACTTCGGAGCTGCAATAGACTATTCGGCCCCTCGAGCTTGCTCCTAGACCATGGCTGATCCAATGGGGCCTTACCTCCTCATTCGAGTCTGTCCCCATGATCCTACACTCCCTCGATCAAAATTCTGTTTAACTTGACCTTGAATATATTCAATGACCACACCTCAACTGCTCTCTGGGGAAAAGGATTCCCAAGTTTTTATTTGTTAATTTGCAGAATGTGGGCATCATTGGCGAGGCCAGCATTCACTGCCAACCCCTAATAGCTCAGAGGACAGTCAGGAGTCCACCACATTGCTGTAGATCTGGAGATATGTGTAGGCCAGACCAGGTAAAGACAGCAGTTTCCTTCCCCAAAAGACATTAGTGAACCAGATGTTTTTATTTTCCTGACAATCGTCTCATGGTGATCATTAGATTTTCAATTCCAGCTTTTTATTGAGTTCAAATTCCACCATCTGCCATGGCAGGATTCCAACCCAGGTTCTCAGAACATTACCTGGGTCTCCAAGTTACTGGTCTAGCGATAACAACACCAGGCCACTAATACCACAATTCCTTTGAGAGAATAAATTCCTCCGCATCACCATCTTACATGGGAGGCCTTACATTTTCAAACTGAAGCCTCTTGTTCTAGATTCGCACATGCAGGGAAGCATCCTTTCAGCATTTAACCCATCAGACCCCTTAAAATCTTGTATATTCCAACAGAATCATTTCTTAGTCTTATAACTCCAGTGAATATAGGCCCAGCTTGCTCAACTTTTCTTTGTAACTTCATCCCAGGAATTAGCAAAGAAAACTTGCTCTGAATTGCCTACAATGCAAGAATGTCCCTCCTTAAGTAAGCGAGCAGAGATGGACAGGTGGTCTCCACATGGGTCTTAACCAATGCCCTGGAACATTGTAACAAGACTTCCTTACTTTTACACTCCATTCTTCATTACAATATAACCCAACTTCATGCTTGATTTCCTAACTTTTGTGGCTCGTGTACAAGGATGCCCAGGATCCCTATTCGGGAAGCAGCCTTCCCGTAGCCCATGAGATAAGTGGATGGAAAACACAGGCTGCAAAATTGTCAAGCCTGCATGTGTACAAAGCAGAAATTGACTCAATTGTACAGAGTGTCTATTGAGGTGCAGGGTGAAACTGAATAACTCCTTTGAAGATGAAACTGCTGGAGAAACTCAGCAGGTCTTGCAGCATCTGTGGAGAGAGAACGGAGTTAACATTTCGAGTTCAGTGACCCTTCTTCACAACTGCTGAATTTATCCAGCAATTTCTGTTTGTGTTTCAGATCTGCACCATCCATAGCTCTTTGTTGTATTTTAACTGTTATTGAAGAGCTAGCACAGGCACAACAGGCTGAAAGGCCTCCTCCTGCACCTGGTAATGATCTTACAGAATGAGCTTCATTGAAAAAGTCATCTGCAGTACACCGTTTACTAACAATCTCACTGAGAGGACGGTCAGGGTGCCAGACATGATTATGGAAAAAGACCTCAATATTCACCAGGGCTTTAGGCATATTGGAACACCTTCAGAGGAGCTTTAAAAAGGAACAGTACCTGCTGGACATATTCTAAAAACACGGTGTCATCTAAGGATTTTTTTAAAAATTTATTCATTTGTGGGATACAGGCGTTTCTGGCTGGGCCCAGCATTTGTTGTCCACCCCTAGTTGCCCTTGACAAGATGGTTGTGAGCTGCCTCCTTGAATCACGGCAGTCCACCTGCTGTGGGTTGACCCACAATGCCATTAGGGAGGGTGTTCCAGGATTATGACCCAGTGACAGTGAAGGAACAGCGATATATTTCTAAGTCAGGATGGTGATTGGCTTGAAGGTGGTGATGTTCCCATATGTCTGCTGCCCTTGTCCTTCTAGATGGAAGTGGTCATGGCTTTGGAAGGTGCTGTTTGAGGATCTTTGGTGAATTTCTGCAGTGCATCTTGAAGATAGTACACACTGCTGCTACTGAGCGTTGGTAGTGGAGGGAGAGGATGCTTGTGGATGTAGTGCCAATCAAGCAGGCTGCTTTGCCGTGGAGGACTTATAAATCTAGCTAGTTCCACGTTGCATAATCTAATGGAGCTTCCTACCCGATGAGCCTTTTATCTCATCCTCTTGACAAGAAATGATAGTTGCTGTGTAAGGAACAGACACTTTGCTGAGAGTCCACAGCATGGCCAGAAGCCAAGCTCCAGCTGGAACATGGTCTAGAATGGAGCCAAACTTTCTGGAGAAGTTAGAAACCACCAGCAGGGGATATAATGACACCATGGTAACAGGCTAGTAATTCAGAGGCCAGGCTAACGTTCATGGGGCATGGGTTCAAATCCCATCACAGCAACTGATAGAATTTACATTCAATTAGTAAGAAATTGGAATACAAAGCAAATTTGAGTAAACGGTGATTATTGATTGATTGGTTCACTAATGCCATTGAGAAAAGGAAACCTGCTGTCCTTATCTGGTCTGGCCTATTGGTAACTCCAGATTTGCAGCAGTGTGTATTGACTCTGAACTACCCTCTGCAATGGCCCAGCAAGCTACTTGGTTCAAGGGCAATTAGGGATAGGCAACAAATATTTGCCCTGGATATGAGACATACCTTGGATAGGCTCTCAAAATCCCTGGGGTAGCTTTCCAAATCAGCATTCCCAGCCAGGGCGGTAGGGGGCATGTCAGGAATTTTGATACAGGGATGCATGGATTTTCTCTCCATTAATTGTGAGACACCGTCCCATCAGGCCAACCTCTATAGCCTGCGATCAATAAAACTGACATGGACATTCCAACCTTGGCATTCTAGCCCAGACATGATGGGCCAAGTTGCCTCTTTCTGTGCTGTAAACTGTTTATGATTCCATCTTGTACCAAAAGTTACTCAAACACAAATGAGTAAACTATTCTGAGCACACTCAGAGATCAAATTGAAATTTCTGAAGAAGGGTCCCAACCCGAAACATCAACTTTCCTGCTCCTCTGATGCTGCCTGGCCTGCTGTGTTCCTCCAGCTCCACACTGTGTTATCTCTGACTCCAGCATCTGCAGCTCTTGCTATCTCCCAGCTTAAACATTGAGCTCCCGTATTAAAGGCATGTGCTCATGTTGCTGTATGGATTCAGTTTCAATAAAATCTACTTAAAATGTACAGAAAAAACATCTGATGTCCAACACTGAATGTCCTTGTGATGGTGATGGTGAGCTGCCTTCCCAAAGCTGGTTCAGCCAGAGGCATAGTCCTTTACCTGATCTCCCACAGGAGGACAGAGACTTTCTGTTTACCATTCTACCTGGCTCATTGAGTATGTATCACTGTATCACCCCTCCATTGCTAACATGCCACTATTACTTTGGATTTAGTGAATTTTGCCTTGGTCAAAGTGGTGATATGCCAGTGCTGGGGGATTCCACACTTTTGTTCCATTATAGTGAGAACACTCCAAGTCAGGCACTGCACAGATCAGATATAGTAGAGAATTGCTCCTACACTGCCCCGATCCCAATCCCAATCCCTGTTGGAAAGTGCTCAGGAGGGAATCACACCAAGAACACAGTCAACTGTGGCATTCTTCACAATTCCATATATCCCACCCCCACGCAGGTATTCACTACCTAATGCACACTGGTCACCTATATGGAGCATTGGATTGATCGAGACCAACATGAATTGTAAAAGAAACAAGATGAGATTAAAGTTGGGGGTCAAAAACATTTCAATCCAGGTTCCCAGAGGCAAAAGTTGGCATGGTAACTTCGTGCCCCCAGTACAGCAACAGCTAAAGCTGTTTGTAGTTGAGAGAATCTTTTTTAGAATTCATTTTGTGGGATATGGGCGTTACTGGCTAGGCCAGCATTTGTTGCCCGTCCCTAGTTGCCCCCATGAGAAGGTGGTGGTGAGCGGCCTTCTTGAGTCAGTGCACTCCATGTGCTGTAGGTAGACCCACAATGCCTTTAAGGAGGGAATTCCAGGAATTTGACCCAGCAACAATGAAGGAATGGCAATATATTTCCAATCAGGATGGTGAGTGGATTGGAGGGGAATTTGAAGGTGGTGGTGTTCCCGTATATCTGCTGCCATTGTCCTTCTAGATGGAAGTGGTTGTGAGTTTGGAAGGTGCTGTCTGAGGATCTTTGGTGAATTGCTGCAGTGCATCTTGTAGATAGTACACACTGCTGCTACTGAGCGTTGGTGGGGGAGGGAGTGGATGCTTGTGGATGTGGTGCCAATCAAGCGGGCTGCTTTGTCCTGGATGGTTTCAATCTTCTTGAGTGTTGTTGGAGCTGCACCCATCCAGGCAGGTGGGGAGTATTCCATCACACTCCTGACTTGTGCCTTGTCGATGGTAGACAGGCTTTAGCAGTAGGGGGGAGGTTTTATGGACAAAGGGTAATGTTCCTGCTTCCGAGGCAGAAGGTCCAGGTTCAAATCCCATCCCAGGACCGGACATGCCTTCCCAATGTGAACAAACAGGGTGGGTATCAACCTAAAGATCCTTATGACTCATGCTAATGACTACTGGTGAGAGCAAGAGAGATTCCTGCTCAGCCCCGTGACCGTAAGATATAGGAGCAGAATGGGGCCATTCAGCCCAGTAAAGTCTGCCTCACCATCTGACCATGGCTGATATGTTTCCCAACCCCATTCTTCTGCCTTCTCCCTGTAACATTTGATCCCCTTACTAATCAAGAAAAAAGACGACCACTATCCGGAGCTCCAGACCTACAACACAAGTGCAAGAAAATGCGAGCCAGTCTCCCCAGATATAACTATGGTTGTCAGATTCTGTCGACACAGCAGTGGCCTGGAAACAAACCCTTTGTTATCAGTATGTAAATAACTTCAGTTCAATAACAGGAGCCACAGAGATTCCTGCTGCAGCTTTGGTTCAACCAGCAAAGGAACTTTCAAATTCCAGCTGAGCGTGACCACATTGTCCAAATTACCAAAATGTTTCTAGCAAGGAAAGGTTCCCCAGGAAATGACCCAGAGTAACCCGGACCTGCTTCAAAACTGAAAAATAAAAAAAAACTATCAAGAGCTCTAAGGCTTAGGCATGTAATAAAAGCACACACTGAGCACCACAGAGACTTCACTATTGAAGGTGCTGTCTATCTGTGCTGTGATGTGATATTTGAGGCACCAGGGGGGTCTGCAGTGAATGTAAATATAATTCTGTTACAGTAAGAGATGCCAAGGTGTAGAACTGGATGAACACAGCAGGCCAAGCAGCATCAGAGGAGCAGGAAAGCTGATGTCTCGGGCCTAGACCGTTCTTCAGCAAAAAACAGCTTTTTCTGAAGAAGGGTCTAGGCCCAAGACGTCAGCCTTCCTGCTCCTCTGATGCTGCTTGGCCTGCTGTGTTCATCCAGCTCTACACCTTGTTGTCTCAGATTCTCCAGCGTCTGCAGTTCCTACGATCTCTCAAGTCAGAGATGCCTTTGGTTTGTTTCAATAGGTGTGAGGCTGCGAAAGCACAGCAGGTCAGACAGCAGCTGAGAAGCAGCTAAGTCAGCATTTCGGGCCAAAATCCTTCATCAGGATTGTCCTGGTAAAGGGGTTTCGGCCCGAAACGTTGACTTACCTGCTCCTCGGACGCTGTCTGACTTGCTGTGCTTTTGCAGCCTCACACCTATTGCCTCTGGCTTCCAGCCTCTGCAGTCCCTATTGTCTCCTTTGGTTTGTTTGTTGGATGGAGTCAAACTCCAATGTTTGCTGGTTTCTTCATATGCTGCTGCACAGAGCCGAAGTGCTTTAGTGACCGTGTATGTACATAAAAATATTTATGAATAAAGTATATTTTTGAAATTAAAATAAAAAGCTACACTGGAGGCCCAGTGTGCAGAATCACAAAATTGTTACAGTGCTCCATTCGGCCCATCATCTCTCACTGGCTGTATTATTTACAGCCAATTTCCTGCCTTTTCCCCATATCACTGCATGCCATTTCTATCCACCTAATCATCCAATGCCCTCGGGTGATTGTAAGGTTAGCCAATGCCCCTTTGCAAAGAAGGGAAGGCACTCAAAAGGCAAATAGCGAGCTATTAGGAAGGCTAATCGAATGTTAATCTTTATCACAAGAGGGTTTTATTACAGGAATAGCGAGGCCTTGCTTCAATTGGCTTCGTTAGACAGCACGTGGAGTGCAGCACACAGTTTTGGTCTGTTTACCTCAGGAAGGACAGTATTGCCATGGAGGGAGTGTGACAAAAGGTCCACCAGACTTGTTCGTGCGATAACAGGACTCTCCCCTGTGCAGAGATAGTAGGAACTGCCGATGCTGGAGAATCTGAGATAACAAGGTGTAGAGCTGGCTGAACACAGCAGGCCAGGCAGCATCAGAGGAGCAGGAAAGCTGACATTTCGGGTTGAGACCCTTCTTCCTTCTCCCCTGGGCAGACTAGCCTTCTATTCAGATAGTAGCACCTGAGCATTGGCAAACCATGTCCACCATGGATGATACATAGATTAACACATTATATTGGAAAATTACCTACAGCCAGGCAGGATTTATCACAGAAAACGCTGGAGAGATTCAGCAGGTCTGGCCGCATCATTGGAGATAGAGAAATAGCATTATCACTTCTTTTCCCTCAGAGATGCTGAGTTTCTTCAGCATTTGCTGTTTTTATTTCAGATTTCCAGCATCCACAGTATTTTGGATATTTTAAATTAGCATGCAATTGCACTGCCACGGTAATTTCCCATTCTCTGGGCAAGGAGGTCTGGGGTCAAGTCCATTTTCATCGGAGGTAAACGTCAGCTTTCCTGATCCTCTGATGCTGCTTGGCCTGCTGTGTTCATCCAGCTCTACACCTTGTTATCTCAGATTCTCCAGCATTGGCAGTTCCTACCATCTCTGTAACAATTTTAGCCCCAGAACATTAGCTGGGTCTCTGGAATAACAGCCCAATGATAATACCACTAGGCCATCGCCTTCCCCCATGTTGATAAAACAGCTATAATTGTGCTTTTTCACCGATATGTCTCTTCACCTTTGACCCCAGAAGAAGACATTGACACCGAAGCAAATTGCCTAAGCTCTTTAAACTCTCCTCCCTCCCCTGACCCGCCATTCCTACCTCTGGCAAATCTCCTGTGCTTCTTTCATTGTGTGTCCTGCACTGATGATGTCATCATGTTCAAAGGTCATCATTGCCTGCATTTCCAAAATGGTGGCATATATCAAAGCATGGTACATGCTGTCCTTCACCCTGTCACACAAGTGAGAGACAAGTTAGTGAACATCTGTATCTGAGTTGCTAGGACCCGTAGCTCTGAACCAGAAGACCCCAGCCCTCAACAAAATGCAGCAACAGTCACAGAATCATATAGCATAGAAAAGGCCCTTTGGCCCATCAAGTCTGTACTGCCAAAAATACATGATTACCTACACTAATCCCACTTTCCTGCACTAGGCCATCAACTGGGATAGTATTGAATGGGCGGAGCAGGCTTGAAGGGCTGAATAGTCCTTTCCTGCTCCTATTTCTCATGTTTCAACACTTTCTCACTTCAAAACATTCTCTGCCCCTTCACACGGTGTTGACTAAGGTTTGAGGTGTACATATTGGGATACTGCCTGTCTGCTCCTGGCTTGACAGGGCACAGGGTGAATCCTGGGTTGGGGTTATTGACCGACGCCACACCAAGACCAATCAATCACTTTCTCAGACAATGCTCTCAGACAGATACCTTCCAACGCTGGTCACCTTACAAGGGTTGCGAAGTTGGGTAGAGTATTTGTAGATTGGAAGGCAGGGCGGTAGAATTTGATTTTTGTAAAACGATAGGGGAAGACTGTGTGGCCCCTTTAAAAGATGATGTGTTTTTTTCTAGGCTTGGAGATTTTTTTTTTTTAAGATGTCTATAAGAAGCAGCAGGTGCACAGAGAGTTCTTATAATTGAAACATTTGTATCAGGGGACTATGTGGTTATCAATCCAGGCAGTAGTTTGTTTAGGCAACCAGTTTGAATATCAGCCAATTAATTTAAACCAGGCGCGTAGAAACTAAACACCAATTAAATTTATCTGATGGTTTTGACAACCTAGCACCAATCCTATCATAAGAAATTGATAGGTGGTCATCAAGGGTATAAAAGAAAAGGCATTTAAAAGTCAGTGTGAGAGCAACTGCCATCTAATTGAGTTAACAACCCATCAGCTCTAAAAGAAAAATCATTGGCACTCACAGAATTCTCTAAGTTCTCAGAACAACCATTATCTAACTAAAGGTTACTCTTAGCTAATATTTTTGACACAAGAATTTGATGGAGAGAGGTGTTCCTGACTGAGGATCATGGAGAGGGCATGAAGCATTCTGGAAGATATATCCTGGCTGCAATTTCAAGGGATTAAGTTTTGATGTTTTTTGGTTTATACAAGTGGGACTTGTATTTATTGGAACAGCATACCATTAGAGTTTTGTTTTATTCAGGAATAGTTACTAGTTAAGAGAGAATTGTTTGATTTGTTAGTAGTCCTGTCAGTTTGTTCACTGTTAAAGTTAGATAAATAGCTACTTGTTGATTATAGAGTGAGTGAAAGAATTTCATTTCAGTTAATCATTCCTTTATGACAGATTGGGGGGTGAGAAGCAGGTTATACCACTTTTTACATTTCTTTTAACAGATTATGAGGCGGTTATTGGGGGGTGGTGGCAACCTCTGCTTTATAACACAAGGATCGGTAACTGCAACCCTGTCCAAAATTACCTACGCTATGTAAATGCAGCTTACTATTGTCATTTGACAACGCCCCTCCTAATACTGCTGCCCCATGACATACTTGGCCTAGTGTAGATGTGGGAAAGGGGGCAATGGGCATGGGATCTTCCTCTTCTCTCTGTCTCAGTACCAGACTGTGTGGTACATAAAGGCACAGTGTAATGGAAGGAACTGTACTAGGAGGGGTGATCAGGCATGGACTAAATGGGCCAAATGGCCTCTTCCTGTGCTACAATGACTATGACATAGTGCTCCTAAAACTCAGTTTAACTTTACACTAATTGCCAGTGGCTGTTTCATCAAACCATGCAGCAGCTTGCAACTTTACAGACAGACTCCAGAAGGGAACAGAAGGTACATTACCCACATCCAAGTTTGGAAGCTGTCCCTGAGGGCAATGGATTTCAAGACTAGGGAGCATATTTCCAAAGGGGAGAAGAAAAAGATTTAAAGACATGAGGGCAGTTCTTGTTTTTACGGAGTGGAGTGGTTCGTGTGTGGAATGAAGGTCCAGAGGAAACGGTGGATTGGGACACAGTTACAACGTTTAAAAGACATTTGGATAAGTACATAAATAGGAAAGACTTGGAGGGATATGGGCCATCCACTGGTAGGTGTGACTAGTTTAGTTTGGGATTATGTTCAGCATGGACTGGTTGCTCCAAAAGGGTCTGTTTCCCTGCTATATGACTCTATGACCCTTGCCTGAAGCAAGACCCCACAATACCATCCTGTAGGATTACCAACTTTAGCATAGTGGCAGCACCTTGCTGCCAAGTCAGAGATAAATGGGTTTTCAAGCTGACACTTGAAGGAGGATGTGGGACAACATTAGAGATGCCACTCATTGAAGAGATGTTATTCCATCTGCCCTTTCAGTGTTACATGCCGAATGAAGAAGGGTGGAACAGAAAAACTAGCCTTTAAATATTTATTTACAGATATGCATATTACAAGCATATTATTCATAGTTTCAATCTGCTCCTATATGTAGTAGCTCAAGTGTCTCCATTTAATGTCCAACACCCACATACTGTTCATCAATTGAAAGAACCCAAGTCTCCCTCCTTTAGGGAAGGACAATTAGTATTGTACAGCTTGAGGGCAACCACATCATAATCACGGGATACACAGGAACAAGAGTAGGCCATTCAGCCCCTTGAGACTGCTCTGCCATTCAATAAAATCGTGGATGATCTGTGGCCTAACTCATATGCCTACCTTGGGCCCGTAACCCTTGAAACACTTACATAAGAACATAAGAACTAGGAGCAGGAGTAGGCCATCTGGCCCCTCGAGCCTGCCCCGCTATTTAATAAGATCATGGCTGATCTTTGAGACTCAGCTCCACTTACCCGCCCACTCACCATAACCCTTAATTCCTATACTGTTCAAAAATTTATCTAGCCTTGTCTTAAACACATTCAGTGAGGTAGCTTCAACCGCTTCACTGGGCAGGGAATTCCACAGATTCACAACCCTTTGGGTGAAGAAGTTCCTCCTGACCCCAGTCCTACATCTGCTTCCCTTTATTTTGAGGCGATGCCCCTGAGTCCTAGTTTCACCTGCTAGCGGAAACAACCTCCCTGCCTCCACCTTATCTATTCCCTTCATAATCTTATATGTTTCTACAAGATCTCCCCTCATTCTTCTGAATTCCAATGAGTATAAGCCCAGCCTACTCAGTCTCTCCTCATAATCCAACCCTCTCAACTCTGGAATCAACCAAGTGAATCTCTTCTGCACCCTCTCCAGTGCTAGTATATTTCTTCTCAAGTAAGGAGACCAAAACTGCACACAGTTCTCCAGGTGTGGCCTCACCAGGACCCTATACAGCTGCAGCATAGCCTCCCTGTTTTTAAACTCCATCCCTCTAGCAATGACAGAGAAAATTCCATTCGCCTTTTTAATTACCTGCTGCACCTGCAATCCTACTTTTAGCAATTCATGCACAAGGACACCCAAGTCCCTCTGCACAGCAGGGTGCTGCAATTTTTTACCATTTAAAATATAGTCCATTTTGCTGTTATTCCTACCAAAATGGATGACCTCACACTTATCAACATTGTACTCCATCTGCCAGACCTTTGCTCACTCACTTAGACTATCTCTATCCCTCTGCAGACTTTCAGGGTCTTCTGCACACTTTGCTCTACCACTCAACTTAGTGTCATCTGCAAATTTTGACACACCACACTTAGTCCCCAACTCCAAATCATCTATGTAAATTGTAAACAATTGAGGTCCCAACACTGATCCCTGAGGCACACCACTAGCCACTGACCGCCAACCAGAAAAACACCCATTTACTCCTACTCTTTGCTTTCTACTGGTCAACCAATCCTCTATCCATGCCAATACATTACCCGTAATACCGTGCAACTTTATCTTATGTAGCAGCCTTTGGTGTGGCACCTTGTCAAATGCCTTCTGGAAATTCAGATACACCACATCCACAGGTTCCCCATTGTCCACCATGCAAGTAATGTCCTCAAGGAATTCCACCAAATTAGTTAAACATGACCTACCCTTCATGAACCCATGCTGGGTGGTCCCAATGGGACAATTTACACCCAGATGTCTTGCTATTTCTTCCTTAATGATAGATTCAAGCATTTTCCCCACTACCGAAGTTAAGCTAACTGGCCTATAGTTACCTGCTTTTTTTAACTTGCTTTTTTAAACAGTGGCGTCACATTGGCTGTTTTCCAATCTGCGGGAACCACCCCAGAGTCCAGTGAATTTTGGTAAATAATTACTAGTGCATTTACTATTTCCCCCATCACCTCTTTTAGTACACTGGGATGCATCTCATCAGGGCCAGCAGCTTGTCTACCTTTAGCCCCATTAGCTTGCCCAGCACTGCCTCCTTAGTGATAATGATAGTTTCTAGGTCCTCACCTGCTATAACCTTCTTGCTATTAGTTTTCGGCATGTTATTTGTGTCTTCCACTGTGAAGACTGACACGAAATAACTGTTTAATGTCTCGGCTATTTCCTCATTCCCAGTTATTAAATTGGCCTTCTCATCCTCGAAAGGACCAATGTTTACCTTCGCCACTCTTTTACGATTTACATATTTATAGAAACTTTTGCTGCCTGTTTTTATATTCTGAGCTAGTTTACTCTCATAATCTATCTTACTTTTCTTTATAACTTTATTTGTGGCTTTCTGTTGGCCTTTAAAGATTTCCCAGTCTACTAGTTTCCCACTTTTGTAAGTGTGTTTTTTCAATCTGATACTTTCCTTTATTTCCTTAGACATCTATGGCTGGCTCTCTTTTTCTACAGCTTTTCCTTATCACTGGAATATACATCTGCTGAGCACTGTGAAAAATTGTTTTGAAAGTCCTCCACTGTTCCTCAATTGACCCACCATAAAGTTTTTGCTCCCATTCTACCTTAGCTAACTCCTTCCTCATTCCTTCATAGTCTCCTTTGTTTAAGCACAGGACATAGGTACTGGATTTAGCCTTCTCACGCTCCA